AGCACTGATCGACCTCAACGACATCCTCATAACGTCCAAAAGTCGAAAAGGGTACCCAATCATCCAAAGGGACAACCGAAGGCTGCACGCCTTCAAGGACAGACGGCTCCTAGCAGAGAGACCTTGAAGGAGCACGTGCGACGTCATAGTGCGAAACAGCATCCCTCGAAATCATCCTCTCCAGTCACCACCGGCAAAGACGTCATCGAATCATCGAGTGAGGAGGAGTCTAACCTCACTGATGAAGCTGATGGAGAGGGGACCCCAATTGCAACCCCGACCAACCGTCGCTCTGGGTCTGAATCAAACCTTCAATGCAAATTCTGTGGGCGACATCTCTCGTCCAACACTCGGCTTCTTGAGCACGAGAACTGTCACAAGGAGGATAAGAAGTCTTTTCCGTGCCTGGAATGCAACGAGGTGTATTTCTCAGGACCAACCTTTTCAGCACATTTGGGAAAAAAACATAAAAACTACAAAGTTAGCCAAGAGGGTAAAATTTCCTGAGCAAAAACCTCCAAAAAACAAAAAACAAAACAAAAAACAAACAATCAAAAAACAATGCTGAATACCAGAACTGCGACAGAAACAGCTCAGGATTAATGCTACTTTGTACGTGAGCAAGGTCACAGTGTTCACGGAGGCAGTTAAACGTTAATTGAGCCGTGTTCATAAAGTCCAAGAAACGACTGTTCATCCACCTCTGTGGATTTAACCTAAAGCTATGTCTTTACTGTATAGTTCATTGGTTTAGAAACTGTTGGTGACGATGCTTGCGCTTCTCGACGGAGCCACATAAAAGACACGTCACAGTGGACTTTTTAGTTCATGTTATTTATTCATGTTGACTGAATTTGTCTTATTCAATGTTCATTGCCATACGACAGTCATTTTTAATGACTTTAATATCATCGTTAACCTAAAGACAGATCGTCTCAACCTAAGAATTTAATTGTGTGATTAAACATCCTTAAATATTAATATGTTGACTTATATCGCGAGAAGGTAATGTGGGTTACCGTGGAAGCCTGTACATTGTCAACATAGAGTTCAACCTTACGCTATTTGCATATACTTCAAGTTTTATTTTGTTTTATGTCTAATTTGGAAGGTGTGTGTTAATTTCCTTTACATCTGATAGTATTTGCATGATAGTTCTTAGGTTGATTTGGTGGATGGGTTGGTAGTTGGATGAGTGTGTGGGTGATTATAAGTAAGAGAGTCCTCCAAAAACCCCACAGAAAAACCGTGGTGCTGTCCACTAAACACCAGCAAGCTTTTGCGATGGAATCAAGGGAAGAAGACGTCTGATGGAATCAATGATCTTATGTTATCAAATTCATATGAAGCAAATGGTGGGACAGAGAGACTCCCTCCCGCCTTTGTGTTGGTCATTGTTATACTGGTATCTCAGGAATTCCTTTCAGAAATCTAGGGGGACGTGTTAAGTGACAGTAGGCTGGAGTGTGTATAAGAATTAGAATTGTTGTGGGTACCCCTCTGTCCCATTTTGTGTCTAGTTTAATCAAATTTGCACTAGCTTTTTTCAAGTAGTGACATTTGTTGATTTCTTCTGTTCCTACACCTTGGGACTTTACAAAATATAAAACGATAAAGCCAGCGCTGAACTTAAGGCCATCCTGGTGGTCACCAGCCTAGCACAGCTTGCATTTTTTTTTTTGGTAACGAAGAAGAAAAGGGAAAATATTCTATCAGCTCCTGTTTGATTCTGCATTTCGTGGGATTCGTTTCCTCATTTACGTAAAATCGCCAGGATTCCCGATTTGGTTTCATTATCCGCCACCGATCCCTACGTTCGGAGGACGTCTGCAAGACGTCGGAGAATGCGTACGTGACGGGATCCGGGAACCCGTCTAGGCTGAACCACTCAGGGGGCGCTGTTCGTAATGCAGATGTAAATTTTACACGTGTTAAGATAAGAATTTCCCTATCATATGTCCTTTGTAAAATATTATTTTTCAAAGCTGTCAGTTTACAATTAATTCGACAATTTAGAAATAAATAAATAACATATCTGGCCTAGTAGGGTTTCTAGTAAAATTTACTCGACAAATAGAGTATCGAGTGAATCGAATTCAACTGCGCAACGATTGGTTTCCGCCTCAATGATTTCAAAGAGTGAATGCGGAAGGAAACCAGTGTAACTGCATAACAATGAAATTCTCACGTGGGGTGACGGGCATTCATAAATTCGCGGGCATCGTAGAAGGAGCATCAGTTTAACTGCGCCATAGTTATACAGTCAAAGTAAGTATGCCATTTCTGAGTCTAAATTAACTGATTTTGGCCTCCATGATTAGAAGTGGTATAGTTTACTGTTTAGAGAGTAAACTTAACAAATGAAAGATGGAACACGGGCGACTTTAGCACGAAATTCAATGTCGATTGTGACCCGTTCACTTTATCGTTCCATGACCATAATATACGAAATCACTTATTTTCCCTTGCAACAGTCTACTAGGCATTTAGCAAGCGAAAACATGTCGACAACGTCAAATTTAGCAGTGAAAACATTGAAGGGTTAACTTTGAAAACATTTAGAATTTTCCGACCAGTTTTGTGAGGTTTGGTGATGGCTGGATACGGAATTTTTGAAATTCCACGTTTTCTTCCAAAGTCCTCCATAAAATGGCTCTTCAACGCTTTGTGTAATAGGAAGACTTCCCTGGGGAAACAAAGATAATTTGGGATGTATCATGGCCATACAATCTGCTTTGATGTTATATGCATTCCTTTAACATGTCTGATGTTATCTTGATTGCTTCAGACTTACAAAGACAAATGCCCTGTCAACGATAGCTAGAGCTCCATATACGGACACCACTTGACACCCTTTGACCAAAACCCTGTGAGGTTGGGCTGAAAATTTCTAATTTTTTTTATTAAGGACACAACTTATTTTTTTTCTTCCTCTTCAATTAAGCATTTCTAGATTCATGAAGGCTAATTGGTCACTGTAGGGATTAATGGTGTCCGTGCTTGGAACTCTTCCCCTATAAATTTGTATAAAGATTTCCATAAACTTTACTCTGCCTGGAAGTAGCCTCTCACAAAACCATCCGCCAATCTGCATGCGGTGGCCATTTGCACGATGCTTCGCACAGTGTTCATGCACAGCGTCACAAACATTCGGCTCCACGGAATAATGTGTGATAATTTAATTTTGATTAATGTAGTTGAATCTAAATGCGTGCAGTCTTGGCTTTAAGTATAGCATTGTGCTACCTATGTGTCTTTGTAGGGCGATGTTGAAATAAATGTGTGTGAAAATCGAATAATTACTGGGAGTGTGGCAAGGTGCGTGCTGCCATACCCCTGTAATTATTCCCTGCAATGACCTTTTAGCCATCAGAAAGCAAACGCAACAAACAGAAAAGTTCAATTTAGAAGGGAAATAGTCTAGTCGTTTACTTAGAAAAAAGAAATTTTCTCAACAGTTCCATAGGGTTGAAATTTGTGCACAGGGTGTCAAGTGTCAAGCACTTCCTACTGCTCCAAGGTCCTATATACTTCCCCAATTATGTATACTTTTATTTTTGTAAAAAGGGATGTGGAGCCATTTTGTGGAGGGTTTTGTAAGAAAGATCGAAAGTTTATCCTTTGCGGCAAATAAATACTTGCAGAGTCCTTAAAGTAAGGATTGAACAAAAGGAGGTGTATCATCTCCAATTCTCAAATTTATGGAGCTGTTGAGTTTTAAGATAAAAATTGGGATGTTGTGTAAAGTCCTGTTGGGGGAAATGATTTCAAATTCTATTTTTGTTATACTGTATTACAGATGATTCTTGTGCACCTTGACTTCAATTAGCGAGGGAGGCTGGAAGCAACACTCCACCTAGAGTTCACCTAGAGCCCAAGTATAGCCCACACAGAGCCCAGTGACCCCACATCGAGCTCGTACGAAGAATGTTGCGGCGAAGATGCCTGCATAATCAGACTCAATGCGACAAAATTCCACCATTTGAACTGGAAGTGAGACAGCTTACGATCAGACAATATCGTTGCACTTGCCATAATCCAGCGTAAGCCTGCCACATGGAACGAATTGAACGTGGTATTGGCTTATTTCTAAAATGCAAGCCAGTTCTGTTCTTTCTGATAAACTGACTCCTTATGCATCAATTGAGGGTCATGTCAGCAAACGGTGTTTTGAGATCATTTCCTCATAGCCATGAAAACAATCCCATTAACCACCTTCCACAAGCCATATTAACTTCAACCAACCCTCAACCACCAATACGTGTAGTAAATAACAACCCCATTAACCATAACCATTTACCATATGAACCTCAACCAACCATCAACCATTAACGGTAAATAACCCCGTTAACCATAATCATTTACCATGTAAACTTAACCACTAACCATTGACAAAAACTAACGATTCCGTTAACAGTGTAAACCTCCACTAACCCCCCACCATTAACAAACATGTAACCACAGGCCATTGCCCTTTATTAAATCATTTGCCGGTTATCCATTTCCTAATTAAAATGAGGAAATGATCTATCAACTTGCTGTAAAAGACTTTTAAAATGCAGGCAGTTTATGTACTTCACTACGCAAAATGTGCTTGTTTGTGTTCAAAAATCAACATCAAATTTGAAAAACGTCTTTAAAAATCACTATAAATGCCGTAACCGGATAGTTTTTCTAGGTAAAGATTCTTTGAGGCCCGACCTTGAATCAGTTCCAGAAGGTTCCTTGGATAAAATAAATACATAGTCTTCAACGAACGTGGGAAGTCAACATTATCTGCCGCAGAGGTCTCTGAGCCTTGACTTTGACTTTGAGAGATGAAAAGTGGACATGACACAAGCCAGTGATTGAATAGAGATAGCTGTCTTGGAGGAAACAGAACAATGTCAGGAAGAGATCTAGAGGATTCTGAATGATGTACTGGAAAGAATGGCTTATGTCTGGAATCGTGCCACTGCAGCTATTGTCGTTCAACTTGGAGGAATATCCACAGAGGTGAAAATTACTCATTACAGATATTCAGTCTTTTTATAGCACTTCACCCAGAGATTCTGTAGTTTTGAGCGTCTAAGAACTGTACCCGTAGCAACCAAACTGCTAATACCTGTAGCGACCAAAGGTGTTATGAACAAAATGCCAAACTCGTGTGTCGCACATTTTGGACACTCTGGTTCAGAGCTTCATGTGAGCTAACGTATCTCAAAAAGAAGTCGTTTGAATAAGTGCTGGTAAATTCTCCACTGATTTCTGATTTAAATAGACTTACTTTTATTATATAAAATAATCAGTCACCGCTTCAATCAATCAGAATCTGTGGTAGAGGTGTTGCACAACAAATATTGACTGCTGAATTTTCTTGTGGTGCAGGAAAACGAGCCTCCTGATATGAGGTGATCCATTTAACATCGTCTTCTAAGGTCAAGCTGTCGATATCATTTGCTGACGAATGAAATAAAATACTAAAATATACCCATGCTTTCTTTAATCAATCATTTTCATTACTTCCTTGAATCGTATATAAGTTGGTTACTTTCTCATTAATGTCTGTTAATGTAAAATGAATGTTTTTTGTTTCTACAGGGACCACATTCTACTTTGACAAGTAGCCTGAATCAGTGGAGGCAAAGAAACTGAAAATTTGGTACAAGGTAAGTTATCACCAAAAGACTCTGCTTGTCTAAACCAATTCGTCCATTGCGCCATTGAATGTACTTTTTTACTTTTCAATGTCTCAATGCTTGATTGACTTTGCATGATTTTGCAGGATTCATCCGATGTGGGACAAAGGGGATCGTTGGTTTAAACGGTACAACAGCAGATGGGTCATCCCAAGTAGAGACCGGGGAATTCAAGACTTGCATGTTCATAAGGTGAGGTAACCATTTCTTACAGGCGTGAACATGCACAAGAACCCCGGATCATAGCAACTAGGCCTGGTAAAGTAGCCCTTCGTTTTTTGTGTAAGCAAAGTTGAAACCTCTCTTTCAATTTTGCTTTTTGAACCATTTGGGGAGTCTGAAAGCATTGAAAGAAAGTCTCTTGAGAGCATTTTTTCTAGTATTTTCCCATGTTTGGTAACAGGTCCACAGCTTTGCCAAGAGGCCATTGGTGGAAAAAAATTATATGTTTTATTGAAATTGGTTTTGAAAACGTTCTGTAGAATTCAAATCGATTTTCTGATGTTTGCCAAGGCTCTG